AGATTCAGGGATCAGAATTACAGACAAAGCATCGAGAAAAGTCAATTTTTAATGAAAATCAAATCCAAGTCCCTAGCACTAGTCAACAATAAATAAACAAGCGCCAAACAATGAAAACAAGACTAACTGTCTTAGAAATAGTCAACAAATAAACAGCAATAAACAGCATTAGTGCAGGTGCTCGAACAGACCGCCGTTCACGTCGATGCAGTGGCGAGCGCGCAGCACAGCCTGCCGCTGCACACGCACTAGAGTGGCGGGCGTTACAGCCCTGAACGCCGCCTCGATACGGTCGCGCAGCTCTTCCTCGGTGTCAGGCTTTGTCTCGTAGACCACGTTCTTTACATGGCCCCACAGGAAGAAATCTGGGGGCGTTAGGTCGGGTGAACGCGCAGGCCATGCCACAGGGCCGTCGCGACCAATCCACCGCTGAGGGTACACCTAAACAAACGAAAACAAAAACATGACCGATCAGCAACAAAATCAAATTGTTGATTTGATTATTTGATTAGGAACGTAACGTACCTGGTTCAGGTGGGCACGAACTGCCAGCAGCCAATGAGGCGGCGCGCCGTCCTGTTGGAACCAGTGGTCACGGCGGAGGGCGAGAGGGACCTCAGCGAGCAGATCGGGAAGGTCGTTCTGCAGAAACGCAAGGTATCCTGCACCATTCAGCCTCCCGTCAAAGAAGTGGGGCCCGATGACCTGTTCGCCCAGAACACCTCCCCAACAGTTGATGCTCCACTGGTCCTGAAAATCGACGGTGCGCATCCAGTGTGGGTTGACATCCGACCAGTAGTGCATGTTGTGGCGGTTCACGTTGGCCTTGTTGTCAAAGATGCACTCGTCCGACCACAAGACCCTCCCCGCAAATGCCTCGGGCTCCGGCCGGTCAACGAGCCACTGAGAGTACTCCATCCGCCTGGGAGGGTCCCCGACACGCAGCCCTTGGTTTAGAACCAATTTGAATGGATGGAACTTTTCATCGGCCAAGATCCGCTGGATGGTGGTCTTGCTCATTCCGAGGGCGTCTGCCGCTCGTCTCTGACCTGATATCAACATTGACTGCGTTAGTGCCTGGGGGCAACATGACAGACGAACACACGTTTAGGCGACGCATTGGTTTTACTTACTTGTGTGTGGGTTCTCCCGGAAGTGCTCCAAAACGTCTTCTGCCTGGGCGTTCCGGGGTCGGGGCATAACAGGTGGTCTGTGAAACACGCCGTCTATCGCCAAACGGCGGGCCACACGCCGAAATGTTGCTGGCGCCGGGTGCCTTCTCGGTGGGTATCGCTCACGATACAGAGCTGCAGCGGCGTTGGCGTTGCGGCGCGTTTCCCCGTAAATAGCGTGGATATCAGCCAATTCCTCATTCGTGTAGCGCACCATGTTTACATCGCACTAATGAGCGGCCCGAAGATCAGCTGTCGCTGGAGTGGATGTGGCAGGGGAGGGGGGGGGGAGGCGCTATTGGCTACTGCTGGCACGTGACGCCGGCCGAGCCGAGCGAGCCGAGGAGAGGGGGAGGGGGGAAAGAGCCCGGTGCGCTGGCTGCGCAGTAGGCTAGGCAGAGGTGGTGGCGGGGAGTGGCTCCCCCCACCACGTTGACGTGGACAGAGCCAGCTCGCTCAGCGACCGGCCCCGTGTTGTTGCGGGACTGCATACTTTCAAAAAAGGAAGGGGTCTGTGGACCACCCTGTATTTCTGTGTAGCTTAAATCAAAGAAAGGGTCATATTTGCTGAACTCCTTGATGATGTACTG